GACAGAGTGAGACTCCAACTCAAAAAAAAAAAAAAACTTAAACAGACTGAGTGTGGTGGTTCATGTTTGTAATCCCAGAACTTTGGGAGGCTGAGGAAGAAGGATTGCTGAGCCCAGGAGTCCACAATCATCCTAAGCAATATAGTGAGACCTTGTCTCTACAAAAAAAAAAAAAAAAATTAGCCAGGTGTGGTGGCTCACACCTGTACTCCCAGCTACTCGGGAGACTGAGATGGAAGGATTGCCTGAGCCCAGGAGTTGGAGGCTACAGTGAGCCGTGTTCACGCCACTGCACTCCAGCCTGGGCAACAGTGTGAGACCCAACTCAAAAAAAAAGAAAAAGGCCCTTCCATAGCCAGGTAGACATCACCATGAAGTTCAATCCCTTTGTGACCTTGGACTGCAGCAAAAACCACAAACATCACTTCATTGCCCTCTCCCATGTGCCCAGGAAGATCATGTCGTCCCTACTCACCGAGGAGCTGCAGTAGAAGTACAATGTCTGTTCCATGTCCGTCCTCAAGGACAAGGTCCAGGTGGTTTGTGGACACCACAAAGGTCAGCAGATTGGCAAGACGGTCCAGGTGTCCGTAAAGAAATACTTCGGCCGGGCTCGGTGGCTCAGCCTGTAATCCCAGCACTTTGGGAGGCAGAAGCAAGTGGATTGCCTGAGCCCGCGGGTTTGAGACCCACCTGGGCAACTTGGCGAGACACATCTGTACAATAAATAAAAAAAAAATTAGCCGGGCTTGGTAGTGCGCGCCTGTAGTTCCAGCTACTTGGAAGGCTGAGGCGGAAGGATCGCCGGAGCCCAGCAGGTCGAGGCTGTGGTGGGCGGGAGTGGCCACTGCACTCCAGTCTGGGCAACTGAGTGAGACTCCAACTCAAAAAAAAAAAAGAAAAGAAATACTTCATCTGCATCGAGCAAGGGAGTTATCACTAGGTTAAAACCGGACAGAGATCGGAAGAAGATTCTTGAACACAAAGTCAAATCTCAACAAGTAGGAAAAGAGAAAGGCAAATACAAGGAAGAACTTATTGAGAAAATGCAGGAATGAATATAGCCTGTTGTGTACCACAATTTAGCTATAGGCTTTTAGCCTAGTGTGTGTTTCTTTAGAACTCTTCAAAAAATGTCTCTAGAACATTTTCCTCTTGTTTTATTATTCACCTGTGACTCTGTAAGTCTACTTTGCAATTTTAATAATTTTATGAATAAAAATTGGAGATGTTTAAAAAAAAAGTAAACAAAAGTTGAACATACATCTATCACATGACTCTCAGGCAATTCCGTAAGAGAAATGAGTTTATTCTTATAAAGACTTGTATATGAACGATCATAGAAGTACAGTTTATAATAATCAAAAACTAGAAGCAACAAAATGCCCAATGCCCATAAACAAGTTGTGATATAGCTATACAATGAAATACTATTCAGCAATAAAAAAAAGATACTTTTTTTTTTTTTTTTTTTTTAGTAGGGATGGCTCTCTGTCACCCAGGCTGGAGTACAGAGGCATGATCACAGCTCACTGAAGCTTTGATCTCCTGGGCTCAGTCAATCCTCTCACCTCAGCTTCCCAACGTTCTGGGATTACACATGAGCCACCTCAGCCAGTTAGAGATTTTTGATGTATGGAATAGCCTGAATGAATCACCAAGTAATTATGCTGAGTGAAAGAAGCCAGACAATAAAGAGTGCATACTTTAAAATTCCAGAAAATGGAAACTGTAGATACATTCTATAATCTATATGACTGTGGTGACAGAAAGCAGATCAGCAGCTTCCTGAGGATAGGAGGAAGTGGGGAAGGAGGAAAGGGCAGGGATGACCAAGGGATCTCCCAAAATGTTGGGATTACAGGCATGAGCCATTGCATTATTTTTTCTTTAACAAAAAATATATCTTTATATTTATAGCTTTCTTTATACATCTCTCTCTTGCTTATTGCTTTAAAAAATTTTAGGCTGGGCACAGTGGCTCAAGCCTGTAATCCCAGCACTTTGGGAGGCTGAGGTGAGGGGGATTACCTGAGCCCACAGGTTCCAGAACAGCTTGGGCAACTTGGTGAGACTTCATCTCTACAATAAGTCAAAAAATAATTAGCCGGGCATGGGAGTATGAGCCTGTAGTTCCGGCTACTTGGAAGGCTGAGGCAGAAGGAGGGCCTGAACCCAGCAGGTTGATGCTGAGGTGGCCGTGAGCATGCTACTGCACTCCAGCCTGGGCGACAGAGTGGGACTCCAACTCAAAAACAAAATTTTAAAAAAATAAATAATCTCTGAATTTTAAAACTAAAATCACATATTTTGGCACACTTTATATATAGAAGTATATATATCTCAATTACAAATTTTAACTCTCAGTAACCTTAAATTTTAATGAAAACATAGGAAGTAAAAACTCTTGAATTGTCTGTCATATATCAATATTTTATAAATGAGAACCATTTTATAATTTTAGAAACATGTTTCTTTACAAGTTTTAAAAATGGGAAATGACCCAGATACTTAGTATCTATTATTTAATTTAACATAACTTTAAGATTTTATTTTTTTTGAGTTGGAGTCTCACTCCGTCACCCAGGCTGGAGTGCAGTGGCACACTCACAGCCACCCCAGCGTCAACCTGCAGGGCTCTGGCGACCCTTCTGCCTCAGGCTTCCAAGTAGCCGGAACTACAGGCTACCATGCCCGGCTAATTTTTATTTATTTATTGTAGAGACAAGGTCTTGCCAAGTTGCCCAGGCTGGTCTCGAACGTGTGGACTCAGGCAATCCACTCGCCTCGCTCTCCCAAAGTGCTGGGATGACAGGCTGAGCCACCCAGCCTGGCTTTTAAGTTATATGAAAAATTCATTTTAAGTTACATGAAAAATTCATTTATAAATACTTATTCCATTTGAATTTACCAAATTTGTTTTTAACAGCTTAGATTATTTGTGAAAACCAAGATATTAGACAAAACTAATACCCATTTTAAGTTATTTTTCTATTAACCATTTTTATAGCCTGTGAATATTAGGTGTTTAAGTAAGAACCTTAAAGTTAAATATATGAGCATTTTCCCAATAACTCGGAATATTTAGCTGTTTTTATTAAACCAACAATATTAAACTAGTCTTACTTATCAAAAATCACAAAAATATTATTTTGTTTTTAGCTGGATTTATATTTTTTTATAACCTTTATGTCAAACTGGGACATCTTAAAATACTTAGTGGAGACAAATATAAGACTGACCAGTAAATCAAGGCAAAAATGTATGTTGAAAATTTTTCTTTTCAGGTTTCAACTTTTTAATCAGCTCCATGAAGGACATCCTAAACACTATATGAGACACAACAGAATATTTTTTTTTCTAGTATTTTTTTAAAAATGACATTCACATACATTTTTAAGAAGCTCTTCTGCCAGGCTCGGTGGCTCAGCCTGTAATCTCACGTTTTGGGAGGCTGAGGTGAGTGGATTGCCTGAGCCCGCAGGTTCGAGACCCGCCTGGGCAACTTGGCGA